CGGTCGAGAAGCATCTGATGACAAGGATGAAGATAATGGACGCGATTGGATACGCTGCAATGTGGTTTCTGGCAAACTCCTTCCAAATGCAAATCTCCATACCGTAGAGAATCGTTATTAAAAGCACGAAGACTTATTTAGAATATTTAGAATGCAAAAAAGTAGATAATGCGACAAAACTTCCTGCTTATTTAGAACTATCAGCTTTTTGCAAGTTATAGGCCCATGGAGTACGACATCGTGACGTAGGCAACCGTGCCTTATACGTTAGCGCTCTGGCAGCTCAACTGCTGAATATTACGCGGTGAAATTTTACACAGTTATTGTTTTGCTGACAAAATCCAGCATGGTGATTTTTTCCTGCTTCCTAAAAAAATTTTTGCTCACTAATGGTGGAATATTCAATACGGTACCATCAACTGTTATCCGTTATCCGTTAATCATGATCAACATGTGTTTCAAAGATGGGACGCTTGAAAACTGTATCCTTGCCATGAACACAGCTAATGACTTAATTACTTGACCCATATTCTTAGACTGTCTCCTTCCCTGAATAACATTTTGGAAACATTCACATAATTAGATTTAAATAAAATTTTGGGGTGACCTCAGCTTTATGTGGCCCGGGATGGATAGACAAAGATGTGTCCAATATCACGAGAAATGGAAATCAAAAACGAAAAAAATTCGCGAAAGAGGAGTTCTCTTTTTTTCAATTTGAGCTCCATCTGCGAATCCGAAAATAGCACATTCATCGAAGACCGTTATGAAGATATCGGGAGACGAAGTAAACCGATGACGTCACATGACCGATTGGGGGAAATGAGAAGGAACTGGAAGTCCCTTCACAGTTCCTTTTCAAACGTTCGTGCCTTCCCCCTGAGAATTTTTGAAATGAAGACGGGAACGAGAACGCGACTAGGAACGCAAGTTGGAAGGGGTGGGCAAAATGTTTACTCTCATGGATGGGTTTCAAATTGTATGCGATATTTTAGACCCGATAATAGACGTAGTGTAAGCTTGTGCACAAGTGCATAGAGAAAATTACACTGTATAATTTGAAATCTAACACTCCGATCTCTCAGACTTTGCCTGCATCTAGCGTTTAAAATCAAGTCATGCCATACCTAAATCACCCACCTTGTTTAGTTCAGTTGCATCGAATACGGTGGGGGGGGGGGGGGGGGGGCAAGTTTTTGAAACTGCAAAGTAGGTTAATGGAATAATCACTTAGGTTGATGCGATGAGTTGGAAAAGTCTTCACATACCTGCAGTGGCGGCTCGTGCACAAAGATGGCAGGGGTGCAGCCCCACCTGCATTCCTAAGCAAATGAACAAAAAAAGTAAAAATGAAAGCGGCGGTTATTGCATATGCAGCATCGACCACCATTGCAGTCATGGGAAGAAGTGGAAGGCAAAAACGAGACTGAAGACACACGCCTCTCGCGTGTCTCCATCCTGTATGTGCAAGCCAGCCGCGACTACTCATACACTGCACGGGAGCAGATCGCAAGGCGGAACTTGTTGCCTCCTCAAAGCGCATGCGCATTCGGGTGAGACGGTCTTCTCCCATGTCCCTATTGACCAGGGGTGGGCAAAATACGACCCGCGGGCCGAATCCGGCCCGCCACTCTGTCTAACAAAAGGAAACAGCTAGTTTAGTCAGAGAGAGGACCTATTGTAATCAATGAATCAGTTGAGCTCACTCATTTCGTTTGTCATTATTAGGCTTCTTTCCCTTCCTTTCGTCTCCTCAACTCTCCTCAAAAAGCCATGTTTCGACAAGTCTTTTCTAGAATGGCGCTTTCCTGGGATACTGGTTATTAATTATCAAGATGTCATGCATCCGTGAATTTTTCAAGTACGTGGACTTGACTTACTTTCACAGAGGTCCAAGGAAACTTACAGGTCCAACATTTAATTAAAAACCTTAATAGAAAGCGCTACGGAAGTGCCAATGATCTCAAGGAAGTCGTCCGAGCCTTTCCCAACTAGCAGGAAAATTAACATTTTCTGTGAAATTCCTGTCTCGCCGCATCGGGGGAGAATTGCATTCAAGCCGTGGAAATCACGTTGAAAATAAAATCGTTTCACAAGCCCATCAGTTATCCTTATGCTCAGAGCCGAAACTTCCGGACCGATCCCTTGTAAATGCGAGGCAACCGTCCGGGGCGATGAAGCCAACGCCCTTCGCCAACGGGATGGGAGGGACTTTCCTTGCGAATCCTCGCCTTTCCAGCATCGCTCACTTTCGAACAGAAAACCTGGAAGATGTGTGCAGGGGAAAGGCAACGATGCACTCTGCTCGCCTCGAGTGATTTAAGCGAAGACATCTAAATGTCATCTCCATTGGCCTATAGCATGGCGGCCACTGACACGTAAGCTTTGACCGCGATGTCGTATTTCCCGAGGATATCCCAAGCTCCATCCAGCGAGTGATGTTGCGTTAACCTTTGGTTGGCGAATGCACAATATAATATACGACAAAAGTAAATTTTATTGCGCGCTCTTCGCATAAAATTTACGCTGCGCATAGAAATGTATATATCGGTCGAAGTGTCCTAGCGGCCCGAATTTTTTTTTTCAATTAATGAGGCTTACGAAATAGTAGACTCTAGACTTCAATATCGGCTTGCAATTTTAAAGCGGAAAGGTATTCCATCTGCACCGGTCCGTGGGAGTCATAAAAGACCGCACAAGTTCCACCGGAACGTTCAAGGAACGTTCAATGAACGTCATTGAGAATGTTCCACTCATCGTTCGAATCTCCCCAATTTCGGAACGTACAAAAACCTTTAAATTTTGCGTTCTCTGAACGTTCATCAGAGACGTGAAACGAAGCAGCCAGAACCAAGAATGAAGGACCCCCTGTGCACGTTGAAAATGTGACGCATCCCTGCAAATTCCTGCAAATTAAAATTCCCTTGTCTATATCTATATAAGTACTATGAGTACTACCTTCCCTTGATGTCTCCTTTCCAGGCTTCGATTTCCTTAGCAGGAATAGAACGCTTTCTGAATCTTTTTATATCTCGTAACTGGTTCTTTTCTCGCTCCCGAGTTACGTGTCGGATAAGATCTCTCGGATGATTCCTTTAATCGCACTCGAATCTCCCCTTCTTATCGATTCAGATACTATCTACACGGAGAAATACGAGGACGATCTCTGTCAGAGATCCCTATCGCCACTCCACGCTGTCAGAGTTTGGACGCTTCGCCGTCCTCCCTCCATCGACTGTCTCCCCGAGCTGCGTTCCCACTTCGGGCGAGTGCATTCCACGATTTCCAGTCGTCTGGGAAAAGATCGGGTACCGTATAAAGAGTTCCGGGGAGTTACTCCGACGGCATCAGGCAGCTATTTACTATGAAAATTTGGCGTCTTCTGTGCTGTAAGAACCTTATTTATTGGAGTAAGTGCCGAATGGTCAAACCGCTGCCCAAGCGACACAAAACGTTCAAATCATGTTTCTTGCCCGTCCTCCCCCCCTCCCCTCTCCACAAAAAGTCCCTTCTTTCCTTCACCGGTACTACCAGCTTCATGCCTGATAAAAGTAGTTCTCGTGTCAACTCGGTACAAGTTTCCACAAGGTAATATCATAATTATCAGATTGGGAGAGCAAGAAGGAAGGTGCAGAAGATTTTTGCCGTATCCGCAGCAGGTGGACAGGTGAACAGGTGAACAGGTGGACAGGTGGACGCAACCCCCGCAAAGGGAGAAAACCTCATTCTAACCTCACTCGTCCTCGTCGGTCAATTTACGAACATTTTTTCAGGAATAGGCCGTTCTAACATGGGGACACACGATCACGCCTTTCTCTTACAGTTCGAAAGCAAGTGCATCATCACGCTAGGAAATGAATTTCCTCGGCTTACATTCCGTTTTCTTGCAAGCGTTGTACTTTGCATCATATATGTTCAAATCGTGTTTAACTGATTTCGTACTTTGTCCATCCTCAACCTCATTAAGACGTGTCTCGTGAAGTCGTGGGAACTACGAGTGGAGTTCTGACCACTTAGCACATCGGTGTACCGACAGGAAAGAAAAATATTAGACTTTATAGCTGTATAAATATACTTTTTTATATTTAAAAACAGGCTCTTTGGGACGATTCCCGTTGCTGTGGTATGTCTACTTCCAGAAGCATTTACACCGGTCGTAAAGAAATGCATTGCACCTGGTATGACAACTTTCTGAGGTCGACACGATAGATGGGAATCAGTCAAATTACGGAGTCATTATAATACCGGTTCCATCGTCGTTTGAGAGGCATGCGACCGACGGTGGATCGAGGAAAAATGGGCTCTCGTTGCGAGAGGCCGGATTCTATCGAAGCAGTTTGCTGCATTCCGGGAGCAAGCCGTCTGGGATATGTTGCCATTTCGTGATCGCGATTCCGAGTTTTCTTCCTTGCGGTGATGTAATGCTACAATTAGACGTTCACGAACATGCTTCTTGCATTAGTCCTGTCTCTATCCCGATCACGGTCAAGAATGACGTTTCGTGTTTTCCGAACAGAAGCGACGAAGAGACGACGAGGAAAACGAACCGAGATGAAATGCCGGGGGATGGCTGGGTCACTGCTAAATTTCGTCGTGACGCCTTCCACAGTTTCAGGTGATTCCTGGAAGAGCGATCCTTGCAGCTAAGAAAAACTGCATCCATGATGATGCCTTAACAAATGAGCATTTTCATGGAAACTCATGCGGCCGGTTGCAGTAATAAACCTACCGCTAAGCCAGATTTCACCACTCGACTGCTCATGGCCTCCGAGAGCTTTTATGGACAGCCATGCACACATTCTTCAAACTAAAATGTTGAAGGAAGCCGTGCATCCCGCTTGGCAAGGATGAAAAAAATAGGGGGAAAAAAAGACACCCAAAACTTTGCCTGTTTTCCACAGTTCCTGAAAGAGGGTTTGCTCATTCGGACCTTGGAAATGAAGGATTGAAGGTGGAAGGAGTGGGAAGGAGCGGGAAGGTGCGCACCTGTGCGTTGCACAATGGAACACGTGCGTCTGCTTGACCCCTGGGGCATGCCCATCTCCAACCTCTCCCCAAAAATTCCGGTTGGAAATGCTGCTATTATTCGGTCGTCCCTTCTCCGGTCCCGGCCAAAGTGCGCTTCTGAATATCTGAAATTTCATAGTTATGGCGGAGTCCCACGAATCGATGCTGGTTGTGGGGAAGCTACGATGACGCTTTCGATGCGATCGGCCAGAAAGAAAGGAGAAAAACTATATTCATGGAGTTGATGGCTCATCGAATAGGACAACGTATGAAATTCGTGTGGAACACATTCACATGGGCATTAAAAATGAGTACGAGAAAGAGAGAGGACAATTGTGCTGAGAAAATGGTCCCACCAAGGCTGTACCCATGCATGGCCTCGGGGCCTGGAGAGAGAGTGTGTTTTTCAACCGGCCACATTCCAGAGGGCCAGGGGCTATTAGGGAGTGAGCTATGCCACCACCTCCATTGTGCTTCGGACTCTCCAGTCTGCCATGCCTCGGGTTCGAATCCTCCTCATCGCCTCCCTTTCCCTTCAACTCCAAGGATTCGTCTGGTGCAAGGGGAAGTCCGGAATCTACTACGACAATGGGATCGGTCAGACGGTGCCGGACGAAGACGGCGAAATGGAGGAAATCCAAGAAGACATCTTGACCGTGCTCGGACTCCACCACAAGCCTCATCCCGACGCGAGTGTCACCCACGGCGTCGATGCCTCCGCGTCGCGGTTCCTCCTCGACTTGTACAGGAACTTTCAGGACGAAGAAGACGCCACTGGTGATGCGAAAGTGAGAACCCGACGCGAGTTGAATATGAGCGAGACGGACATGGAGATCATCGAGGGGAGCGATTCCATCATGACCTTCGTCAATCACGGTCAGTTCCACTCGATTTAGCAATAAGTCTCGTCTCGTCTGTCGCACTCGACTACATTCTGGACTGGTTGAAATACTTTCTTCATAGTTAGTTACATTACAATGCAGATCATTTACGGTTAGTTGAACACCTTCATTTGATTGTAGAACAAGGTACATATTTTCGATGAGTTATTGTAGCCACTATAATATATGGAATATATATGGCGTTATATATGGAATTACAAATACTTTTGCAAAATGCAGCTGTGAAACTGTAGCCGCAAGTATTACATTATTGGCTATTTTATGAAAATTGTTATTAAAAAACTGTTATTGTCAGCCTTGATGAAAATAAGTTCAGAATACACGGATGCGATTCAGCTCGCAGCACGAAGTCAAGAGATTTTTTTTTCTAGGTCATCACTTGTCTCACGTTCGACACGAGAAGGAGAGGCGGCTTTGGTTCGACGTGAGCGGAATCCCTCTCGACGAGGAGCTGAAAAGGGCGGAACTGCGGATTTTCAAGGAGCCAGGGTGCAAGGGGAACCCGGACGATACCCAACCCTATGTCCTCATCCTCTACAAACTCATTCAAGGAAAGTATGCCCAGTGAGTCCATTCATCTCCTCCTTCCACCGGCTCACTTTCACTGCGTAATGCTGATAGAATCTAGGAAAATTTTTTATCTTTTCTTTTTTATTATTCATTTATTTGAGTATTTCTGAGATTTTCACTTTCTTTTTTAAACTATATATTTTGCCCCAAATCACTCCCTTGTTATTGAATGGCAATTCATGATCAGGCTTAATTGGGTTTCTGTACATTTTAAAATACGGTAATTCAGATATGTGGAAGCGCGAGGACTAATCCTTGATTTTCCAAGTGACTTACAAATTAAGCTTAAATCACGGATGTACATAAGGATATGCGAGTTGCTTTCAAGAGGTAGCGTCACTGGTTCCTGGTCCTGAAAGTAAAAGTGAATACATCAACGCCTCTTCCCCGTGTACTGAAGGATGGTCATATAATACTTGGTGATATTGTCAGGTACGATTGATGAGCTCTCTCCCCATGAACTTCGGCCTGTTACCCTTCAAAATAAATCTATCACTTCGAAGCACTGTCCAATCGACGAGATTTTCAGTTTCCCACGATGAGGAATGCAATCTAGTTTTTCTAACCTCGATGGAATCCTGAGGCAATGGCCCCACTTCGGTATAAAAACAGCCATACTCCCATATTAGCTTTCACCTCCACGAACAAGGACCAGTGACGTCGCTTTTTTTGACTTCCCCTCGTGCACACCGGGTGACCTTCATTTTTTGAGGTCAATGAGACCCACTCACCTTGTTTGTGTCTGTCTGTAGACCGGAGATTAAAATCGAGGAAAATGTGGATTGGCTTGTCCGCTGCCTGCCGCAGTCCTTGTGAACGATTGCCATATTTCCTTCCTAATTTCCTCGTGGGGATTGATTTTTTTGTTTCAGGGAGATGAGACTCGAATACGTGGATTCCAAAAACACAACGTTGAAAGAAGAGGGTTGGTTGACTTTCAACGTGACCGAAACCGTGAAGACTTGGTCGGTTTTCCCGTCTGAGAATCTCGGATTCTACCTCCTCATCTCTGGCCCATCCAGAGGTACAGTGCATCACAAGTTTCTGTATGTATTCTGTCCAATGCAGGGTGATCCGACTGAACAGATATGCGCGCCGCTTCAGAAATTTGTTTAAATGCTTTCAAGCCGTGGCTTCTGAACGATTCCGGAAAAGTAAAAGTAAGGCTTCGAAATCGCCTTAAAACATGAAATGCCAGAATCTTGGATGATTCTTTTTTATTTTATTTTATTTTTTTTTTTTACATCAGAATATGACTAATTACTAGTTCAGTGAGCAAGAGGAAACCATTAAAAGCGTGGAAGAAGATGGAAGTAGACTCGAGTCCTGTCAGACTCTTGAATCACCCTTAATGCATCTTAGTGACAAACAAAAATCAGTAAGAACCTCAGAACAATTTTTTAGTATCCTGTTTCCAGTTCCCTGTTTCTCTGGAGCTCCCTAAGCTTACTGTTGATTCTCGGCGACGTTTGTCAAATAGCCTAAGCCTGCAACGCGAGGAAGGATTACGTGCCCAATAGAATTAGCGTTGTTGATGCCACCGCCTTGCATGACAGAAGCGGACATCCGCCCATCACACATCGGGATCGTGAACGGGGGAGACATGAGAAGAGAATCCTTCCTCTTGGCCTATCTCTCTTCCATCTCGGGGGTTCAGCTGCATGCGAGGAGAACCAGAGCGGCGAAGAAGAACAAGAGGAAGACTCGGAACAAAGATCGCAACGACTATGACGCCTGGGACCCTTCAGCCGGTGAGCAAGCTTACTTTCCTTGCACTGTTGCGATAAATCACGGTTGGTCATTACTGAATTATTTTCGTTTTCATTAACAATATTTCAATTAATTTTTTTTAGCAGGCTTCTTTGAAAAAGCAAAGGGTCAGTTATACTAGGTGAATTCAATAAACCCGAATCTTTAATTTATTGAAGGAAAACCGTTCGAAAGAGAGTCGTCCCCCGAGTATAGGTGCATATATAGGTGTCCCTCAAGGCAGGTGGGTCTACCCTTTGACCACGCATGCTTTGCAGCGATGAATGGCGGCATCAAAGGTTTCCGTAGGGAGATGTTTACCATACAGGGAAATTATCGATCCAAAGGCAGTGCGATTGTCTTCCCTGTAGATGGCCCTTTAGTTTTTGGAATACCCGAAAGTCACGGCTGGCAAGGTCGGGAGAATAGGGTGTGTGGAAGCACTTTAATGTTTTCATCTTGCGACACGGAGTCGGAGCTCAGCGTGGAGGAGCATTTGTCGTGGTTTGGATTCAACTCTGACTGGGTCATCTACGGGCGCTTTTCGTCTATGCTCGGCAGGAAAGTGTTCAGAAAGGTCACGTGATATTATGAACCTTAGAAACATGATGAGCTGTTTTTATGCATAGCAGTTTTGCTCTGGGCCAAAATACCCATAGCAAAGCTGCATATTAAAATGTCTTGAAACTTGCCAAGTCGGGGTTCATTCAACACGATGATGATGCACTACCACACCGAGCCACACCGAGCCTTGACTGTTACCTTCTGTAACTAGAGGAGGCCTGCGACTGGACTGGGTCAGCCAAACTTGTGTCCTTAGTTTTCTTTCGATACGGGGAGGAATACAACTTATTTTTTTCGGTACGTTTAGTGCTGTTATTCGTAGATATTTCGCATGTTGAAATACTCTTCCCTAATGCAAGAGTAGTGCGTGGACGAGCTGTCCTGCGCTTCAATTCATCTTTTATGAGGAGACAAACATGTAGAAAGGCTGTTCTTGATACAAATATGTTTAATTTGAAATGTGTCTGTTTTGCAAGCTCTTGATATAGCACCAGATGCAACACTTCCGTTTATTACATTCACTTATTGAGACTTTTCCCCCGCCGGTTCAATCTATAAAAGGTGGTTCATGAGTAAATCAGAAGAAAGATTTCAGATCTCTACGTACCAGAGCAGCCTATTGTTCAAGACGTTAGTTCGTAAGCGAATATATCAAAGTTGAGATTCATAAGCAGTACAATAAAGTTGCTCTCAGAAGTGGGTGAATTCCAGTTCCACTCATACCTAAGTCACGATTATTTCGAGAATTAATTACAGTATATTACAGTACAGTAAAAACTCGTTAACTCGAATCCTGTTAAGTCGAAATTCCGCTAATCTTGAAGTTCAATGCTTGGTCTCGGCCGAATCCTGTAAGACACCATATTAAAAATAATTCCATTTAACTCGAATTCTCTCATCTCGAATCCCGGCTATGTCGAACGACATTTTCACTCCAGATTACGATTTTCTCATGGTTAACTCGAAATCGGGGTGTGAAGGGGGAAAAATTGTAGGACCTATCGATTTGTTGAATAGGTGAAAGGCAAGAAACCTGTTTGGGAGAAAATCCTTTTTTCTTTTTTTCCTGTTTCCCCCTCCTCTCTCAGACGCCTGTGGAGAGGATTAAAACATAAAGGGCCGATTGCATGAACGATGTTTTCCCGGTGTTTTTCGAAAGTCATCGGTTAACCGATGTCTAAGGCCAAAAATGGATTGCATGAATGCTATCTTCCTTTAACCATTGTCTAACCGATGTCTAACAGAAGCTGAAAAAGGTGTCGTTTCCAGACAAGGGATGGGGCATGTTTTGCCGATATTTATGCCAGTGTTCGTGTACCATCTCGATGAGTATAGCGCTGCAGTGTACTGCTGAAGCATAATGGATTCTGTTTATGGGTCCGCTCGATAACAGCGACATGCTCTCGTCGCTGCATGGGAGGAATAAACATAGGTACTGGGCTTAATCCCTTTGAAGAATGTGTCGATTAGAACTTCCGCATGAGATACCAATTTGGAAAGGGATCAGGGTATGATGTCGACCTGCTTCGCGCTCAACTCAAATGGAACGAAGATCGTGGAAGGGATCCCTTAACTTTACATGGACATATAAGAGCAATCACTGTTCGTGTGCAATGAATCGTGATTTGTTCAAGTACCCATCCCCTGA